CTCAGCCTCCCCTTCCCCAGGCTGAACCCCCCCAGCCCCCTCAGCCGCTCCTCGTAAGACTCGTGCTCCAGACCCCTCAACCAGCTTTGTGGCTCTCCTCTGGACATGTTCCAGCAAGGCAACGTCTTTCTTGTAGCGAGGGGCCCAAAACTGAACACAGGATTCAAGGTGCGGCCTCACCAGCACCGAGCACAGGGGGACAATCACTGCCCTGCTCCTGCTGGCCACACTATTCCTGATACAAGCCAGGATGCCAAGAGATGCACTGGGAACACTTTCCACAGCTCCACGTTCCTCAAACCCTCGCTCATCCAAGATAGTCCCTGAGTAAATAGGGAGGCGATGGTTCAAGCGAGGCATTTGCAAGGGGCGGGTGCCTTGGGGGGGGGGGGCATTTGGCTCTCTGACCGGTCCTGACAAAGATGTTTTCTATTGATTTGCCAGGAGGGACTTGCAGTCTTGAGCAAGACAAGTTGTGTTTTTCAAAGGGCCATACACCCATCACAACTTTTCCTTACTTAATTGTAGGTGGGCCTTTTTCAAAGGGTTTGTCAGGCAGTGAATAAACCCCCTCTTCTCCACAAGCCTCCCCCGCTAATTTAAGCAGGATTCAGAAAATAATTTCAGGACAAAAAAAATCAGAGAGAACCGCAGATGTTGAGAACTGGCTGGTTTATTCTGGTACAAACATTTCCGCATCTAAAATCACTTCAAAAATTGTGGGTATCTCCCTAACTCCCCTAAGCAGAAGGTCAAGATGAAATCTTTTGGTTGACTGCAAACGAAACGTCGGGTTTTGTTATACCAGGAAAACCTCCTATCTCTGGGTTTGACGTATCACACTCTCAGGTTGGTTTGGGGTTTTTTTGATCACCCAGAGAGGTGAAAAGCCAGAGTCAAACCAACTCTTCACCTGCGTTCCTCGTGTCGACATTTCCGCTTTCTCGTCTGTAAAACCTTATTTTAAAGGATTACTTCTTGCACGGACGATGCAGTACATGAGTCCATGTCCTACTGTATAACCCTTTCACTGCGGTGAAGAAACCTTTGCTTCCTTGGAACAACTCAGCATTTCCAGGAAGAAAACTCAATCCCATTTTAAACATTTCCTTTAAAAAATACCCACACATCCCAGGAGGAGAAAACTTTTGCCTTGCATGGCTTTGTAGGGCTGCGAGGAACAAAGTCCCAGCTGCCAAATTAAAATCATAGAGAGGCCCTGGGAAACGCAGATCCCTGCGGCGCAGCCCCTGGGCTGTAATATCAGGATTTAGCTGCAATGGATGAATCCCATTTACGCTTGGCTTTACGCTCCATGGCCTGACCAGCTGGATGCAGTGTTGGTCATACGCTCTCCGTGCTGGTCTCCCATTCCACCCCCAAAATGAACCAGCAGAGACTCACTCCCTTAAAGAGCTTAAAGCAGCAACAGGTTGGGATGGGAGGTGTAGGCAGAAAAGAGAAAAACAAAACCCCAAACCCAATTATTTCAATTTCTTGAATTTGAAGCAAGGGAATTTCCCCCGACAGAAGGGAAAAGCAGCTGGTGTCAGCTCTAGCTTCTGTAACCAACCGCCAAGAAGGAGCAGGAACCTCCTGCGGTCACAGGCGGCTCAGCCGAGGGAGGGGAAGACTGGATTCAGTATGGAGACACACGCGTGCCGGGCAGGGGAGGCATTTGGGCAGAGAGGGCACACCCCGCCCCTGCACAGGGGGAAGGCAGCAGCACCCCATGCACAGCCCCTGCCTCTTGGCAGCAGCGTGAGGCACGACCCTCCCCCCCCATAGCACCAGCCCCACCAGCAACTTGGGCAACCATGGGGAAGGCAAATGGCAACCCTATCGTGGGCTTTTGGGCAGGATGATCACCCCCAAGCAAGGGGGAGGCTCTTGGGAAAACGGGGTGCTGGTAATGGGGACACTGAGTGAACGCAGTTAAGCTGGGCACATCTAGGCCTGGCTTTGCTGGAGCTTCAGCTGCAAGAGCTGTTTGTGCAAGCCACAGCAACGCCTACGAAACTTCTGCGAGTGAAGGGCAAAGCTGAAAGCCTGCAAAAGCATCGCCTGGGACGGACTTGGCTTCAAGGGGCTAACACAGAGACTTGAAGCCACTCAGTGGCAAAGATTTGGGTCAACAAGACCCCATGGGTCAAGGAAAAAGGGATAGATCCTGTCCGTGCTCACACCACGTGCTTTGTGTCACCCCGTTGCTGCTGATCTGTTAAGCTGGAGCACGTGTGAGGGTGTGAGCTCCGTCTCTGCTGAAGGAAGATGAGCTTGTCATGATCCGGCTGTACCAGAGATAACTGAACAGAGCCACAGCCCGGTGGGTGGAGGACTGGATGCACCAGCACCTTAAAAGAGCTGTCTCTCTCCTGCCCAGAGCCCTGGCCTGGCCCCAAAACACGAGGCCACGCATGAGAGCTGCTGCCTGCACTTCTGCTACTGAAAAATTAAGCAGCGTTGTCCTCACTGCTGGTGTTTTGTGCAAAGAGGGGATGAAACGGGCACTCCCTGCTGCTGCCTCTCACTCAGCACCAGTCTGGGTCCAGCCTCAAACTCCTGCCCAGTCTGAGAGCTTGGCAAGAGCAGGAATCCAAACTCTGCTGTCTTTCCACTCTTGTAGAAATTGAGTTCTGTGGCTTTATCCAAAATTAAGTCGCAGCTGATCCCCATGGGAGGCTGAGGGCACTTGTCCTGGTTTGTAGCATTATTCACATTCACGAGGCTAAAACACACCTCAAATTCTGCATCTTCCAGAAATAATCCAGGCTCCCAGGCAGAGAAAATGTGGTATAACAGAAAGCAGAACTCTCTATTGAAGTGTTTTACAGAACGTTGGTATTTTTCCAAGGTACAGCCCTGGGATTTTTCTGCAGAGCTGTTGTACTGTCAGCATACTATTTGCTCTCCTTGCCCTTTTGGTTTTAACGTCCTATTAATAATGCATCTCCGTATTTATTGCAGTTTGCGTTAATGTTCCACTGTTACTTCTCGATCACTCGTTATTCTGTCTGTAGTGCTAGGCGAGGCTTCAAAACCCAAACAACAGCAGCAGCGTTACTACAGACCAAGCCACAGCCCCACCAGATCCAAGACAGCCCCGCCGAGGGGGATCATTCATCTTCCCGAAGCTGGCAGAGTGCGCTGCACCCAGGAACAGCTCTACATCCTCTCCGGCTCAGGGATCGGACCTAAGCTTTTCCAGGGCAATCTGGGCAGTCAGCTCTTTCAAGGGATCTAAGCCAGAAAACTGTAAAACATTGTTAAGGAGCAGCTTGCTTAATCCTGGCTCTACAGCACCCGCTGTAACAGGAGCGGGAACGGGCTGTCAAGGCTGGCCCTGGCTGACAGCTCAGCTCGGCAGCACAGGCCTCCAGGGAGGATGCACTAACGATGCTCCATTGAGCAACCTTGCATTCCTGAAAATTCCCTGGGGCCAACAGAGCTCTGCAGTTACCTTCTCACCCTACAGCACTCTGAGCTCCCCGGTACACCCCCCGTACACCTCCAGCTCAGCACCCAGGCTTGGGCATTGTACTACCAGTGTCCACCTCCCACCGGGAGCGTCCTCGAGCCTTCCCACGCCCGTACCCACACTGCAGAGCGACTCAGAAATGATAGAGAAAGGCAACGCTGAAGCTGGGTGGTTGCCTCACCTAGGGGTTACAGTGCTCATCCATAACACGGGGCTTCATAGCCCTCGTTTGCCTGAAGAGGGACTTACAACCCCCGTCGCTCCCATCACAGGAAAACGCCTCAAATTCTGGACAAGAGATAGCTGCAATCCTGTTTCCAGGCAGGATTTCTCTCCATTCTTCTGGATGAGGCTGCACACATGCTGGGAGAAAGGTTTCTCTGCTCTTCCAAGAAAGTCCCATTTAGCCCTCTCTTCCCCTGGGAATGGAGCTGACCTCCTCCCTGCCTTATCCCTACAAACAGCACATTACTTCCAGCAGCAGCAGCAAGGAGTTTCAGAGCAGGAAAACTGATGTTTCCCTGTCCTGGGCTGGTGGTTAGGGCACTCAGGAGGCGGGCTGGAAGCCCCCCAGGGCACTGCAGAGAGCCCAGAGCAGGTCTCCTGTGTCTTCAGTGCCTTCCCCCAACGCCAGGCTCATGGGCCGGACAGGGCATGGTTCACCTCCACTTCCCTGGCCATACTTTGAAAGAAGTCACGTTTGCTCTCTTTTGCTCATATTGTTACTATGCACTTATCTACAAAACCAAAACTTGGGGGGCTTCAGGGTGAAACATCATCTCTGCCGCTCAGCGCGCTGCATAAACCACAAGGAAAAGCAAGGGCTGAAGATGCAGTTTCCACCGTTCCCTTCTGGCTGAGTTAGTGGGTTGCCACGTGGCAAACTGGGGGAGGCAGATCTCGCTCTCCCCTACTGCAGCACAGTGGTCGCCTACAGACCCCAGCCTTCATGTCCACCCCACAGATGAAGATTGCAGTGTTCAACACCAAAACCTTCAAAACGCTTTTTGGATCTCAATTTATGGGCGATGTTCACAAATTCTCCTGTCTGACCTAATCCCAGCAAAGGTTTTGCTTTGGCTTGATCTGCCTGCAGCCACCAGACCTGGGAGCGTGGCCCGGTCACCGCAATCTGACCTTGTGTGAAGTGTCCCTGAGGTGTCACATGCCCTTGTACTTGCCAAACTCCTCCGCAGATGAGGTGGCTTCCAGATTTCAGTACTTAGCGGCAAGCTTCAAGTGGTTTGTCCAGAAAGGCTCTGAATGATTAAAGATGTCCTCGAGCTGTGTTGTTGCCACTGCTTGGTTACTGACCTACACAAGCACAACAACATGGGCACTGAGGATCTGGCAAGAGAAACTTTTCTGCTCTCTGTCTTCTAATATTTAGTTTTGCTTTTGAGATGAAAGAAGCACTAATTCCTATTTGTATCCATCCTCATTGCCTGACTTAGCGTTTTGTTTTTTTTTTTTTTAAAGTTTACTGTCAAGAACAAGCCTTCTGTTACCATTTATTAAGGTTGAACGTAGCTCACTTTCCAAGTGCTGTGCAAATACAAGCTGGGTCACCGTTACCAACATACTGAAAAGATGTTACCCCTATCTTACAGGGAACAGAACTGGGTCAGCCAGTGGGTGTTTTGTACCACATGAGCAGGATAAAACAATAAAACAATATATGCCCTCCTTGCCGAAGTATGCGTGGCCAGAAGATGAGGATCGCTGCCTCCCTTTCTGGCTGAATAACTCTGAAGTTCCTTCTATTACAGCTTTAAAAAACCCTCATCCCCCAGCTTTCATATCTGCATATGCTAACCAGCCCATTCCTGGAGTGCACTTTCAGGCAAGCTTACAACCTTCAGCTTTCCAGACAGATCGTTTGCTATTAGTAGCGGAGATAACACATAGAAAGCAAGCTATTGTGGAAGTTACCTCTTCTCCTCTCACTCCTCCCACGTTTTCGCGGGGCATCTTGGCATCCTACAGTGCAGCAGATAGGGAAGAGAAGGGATGGTTCCCAGGAAAGAAGCATTAAGAGCGTGGCCAGTGCCAGCACTGCATCCGACTTCTAAATCGCCTAGAAATGGAAATGCAGCGTACATACACCAACTAGAGGAAATCACCACAAGGTTTGACCGTTCAGTAGTAGTTTTGCATTATTTGTTATGATTGCCAAGGTAATGAAGTCAAAGATATTGGATGGAAGACTTGTAAATAGTGTTCATTCAAAGTGACCCTGCAGAAAAGAGTCAAAAACGGCACTGAGAACTCCTCATGCTATCTGATGTATTTCTTCACCAATTCGTACTAGTCGAGCTTGGTCTGCCACCAGAGAGAACCAGGAGGTTCCCTTCAAGCAGTGAAAAAAACCACACTGAATTCTGATTCAGAGCAGTAAGATGCTTAGTCAGAGAAACAAGGAAAAGGAAGTCCCAGTTATGAATTCCCATCTTATTTAAATATTTGCAAAGCTCCATTCTCATACTCCAAAGGGGCTTTCTAGCCCATTCTTCTGGCCTTTCAATCATGATTTCCTCCTCTCTATGAAATCACATCTACTGTCAGCAATGTGGGGTCCTTTATGCCAAAACCACCTCCACTCATCTGTTTTATGTAACTACAAAGCAGCAAGAGCCCCATCCATTACTGCAGCCCTCTCCCAGACTGTGTTTGGGGTAGGTAGCTCGCACGTCCTCAGAAAGTACTGTACAGCGACAGCCATCGGTGCAAGGAGCGAGAAAGATCTAGCTGCATGGAGGTGCATGTTGCATGAAAAGAAACAGAAGTTTTCTGACCACAGGAAGCAGGATGTTTCTTCTACCTCCCTTTTCTGCACATGTGTATTTTAAGCAAACCAAAGTCTCAGAAAGGGCAGTTTACATGATTCCCAAGTCAACATGCTCACGCTACGGTTTAAGAGGAATTGCTGCCTCAGCTGCCTCTCCTTCATGGTATAAACTGAGCCCATTTATATGCCAAAATAGGTACCGTTCTCCAGCCTTGGAGACATGGACTCTCATCTGAGGTCCTGCCATACTCTCTCCCCTGTCACTTTTGTTCATGAACAGAACAACCACCTACTTTGTTTTCCTAAGCAGACGTTGGGTAAGATCTGAACTTTAATGTTAGGGGCTTTCCTACAGCATCAATTGTTTCAGTACAGATCAGGGTAATTTTTCAGATACTGGCCTGTGCCTAAATCATAAAGGCAACACAAGACTGAAAGGGGAGGTTGGCTCATCCTGCCACAGCCAGAGCACATTTCCCAAACAACGGCTCCATCTAAAGATTAGATAACCCAGGAACAGGACTGACTGAATTCATCACCATTTCCTCTTGCACAGCCAATTCTACAGGGAGCAAGAAACAGCAATTTGACACGCAAGGTGGTGTAAAGCAAAGGACGGTCACTTCAGTATGCTTTCTCAAAATGAGACTACGGAATATTTATAGGCCCTTTCCTGCCCGGCTCATTTAGCGTCCACACCCCTTGCTTCCCTAAAGCACCTTGGCTGACTGCTGCCCCACCACCGTACAGGACTACTTCTCACTGCTGAAGCAGCACACAAGCCTGCCAGAAGGATTGCTACAGGCAACGCTGGCCTCGGGAGCTTCAGACAGCAACAGAAAAGCAAGCTGGTCTAGAAAAGGACATCCTGGAGTTACTCAAGAGACTCCCTTTTCGGCTGCAGTGCAACATAGTTTTACACACGTACATTTCAAACACACAGAATTTGTACTTGCCTATGTGATGCCAAAGTCTAAAACTCCTAAGTTTTCCTGCATTTCATAGCTCCATAACTGTGTGGACAATTAATTACCATGACACAATCCAAGCGACTTCTTAAGCTTCACAGAGAAGTCATGTGAACACCTGGATGAATGAGTTATTTAGGCCAAACTCCTTAGAGAACTAAAGGATGCTGCATCTCCACATAGAACACGTGGCATAAAAGCTCTTCACTGCAGGACTGAGAATACCTCTTGGGGACCTTTCTCAGCAAATGGTCTGTAACAGCACAGGCTGTAGCCTGAAATTAAAAAAGTCTTTTTGTTACCACTTTTGCTCTTTCCCGTCTAACCATTTGCAAAACCGTATCCAACTAATTCTGTCCCAGTTGTTCGCAGAATGACATGTTTTTGAGAAATACATAGCAGGTGCTAAGACTGGAGAAAGACACAAGGAAATCTTTTATGAAGATTTGCAGAGTGAAACTGGAGAGCTACTGGCCTAATACATTTGTTAAGCTTCAGCGCAATTTGCGGTACGTTGACACAGGGGCTGAGGCAGCATGGAGTCCATCGAGACACTCCACACAGGCTCCTTCACAATCCCAAGCCGACGTCTCCCAATACCTGATCTGATCCCCGTCAGCACAGTTCCACTGGAAGGAGGAGCTCCTCAGCTGGCGAAGTGAGCTCCGGCGCTTTCCCACCAGCTTAGAGGTGCCCCTGAGAACGATCAGGGGTTGAAATCTGTTAGAAAACTTGCCTAGATGGTAGTGAGCAAACTCCAAAGAATTTTAACTACTTGTGCGCATTGCATTCTGATTAAAATCAAAGGTATAAACAAGAAAGCCTGATTTCTGAAGCGTGGCTAACAGCTCTCAGCTACGTGATTTTTAACAGCCATCAAGAGTCAAAGTGATGGCTGTTGGCCGCATGACAAAATTCCCTCGTCAACACGGACACATAACAGGGCATTCAGAGTATTTCTCTGCAGTGTCCTTTATTAAATATCCTCTTTGATACAGAGTATTTAAGCAAAAATAGTTTAAAAATTCTTTCGGTAATTCTTACAGGAATCTTTTGTGAAGTCACTGTTACAGCAGCATCACGTTGCCATTTAAGGAATAAATCTTTATCAGACATCAGGTTTTTCCTGTGTGGAGTTCTGTTCCATACAAAGAAATCGTAAGAGTAGGCATTGGAAAATGCCTAAAGTAACCATCAAAACTCTGAATTCTGGTCTTCAATTAATAAAGAATTTTAACAGTTGTGTCACAGACACATCATTCTTAATAAACAAAACAGCAGAATAGGAAAATGCATACTTTTGTAAGCTTTAGCTTATAAAAGTCATGGCAGCGCACACAAGTACAGCAAAAGAAGAGGATATGCCTCAAGCACAGACACTTCACTACAAGGTAGAAGCTTCAATACAACGTTGAAGCTTCACCACAGCACTGCCCAACTACTCCCCTGAGTTCTGCATGCTATTTCCAGTACTGGAAATTTGTCATGTAACAACCGTGTGGCAACTGGCACTACCCACCCAGGTGGGATTCTGCCCCACAAAAATTAGAGAGCATAAACAGATTCTGCTTTGACTTCTGTCTGCCACAGCTGTTGCATGGCCTTTTGGAGACCCAGGCGGTCTCATTCATTTTATTCTTTTCTATGTAAACCAATAGTCTCATTTTTGACATTCATGAACAGTAAGTAAATGTTTCTTTGGAACAAAGGATAGCTCCTACAGGGGCAGACATTCTCATGAAATAGATTAGACTCATCAGATGTCCAGATTAACAAACCTATTGGCACAGGGAAGGTGACAGGGGACACAGCATGAGCCCTTGTTGCATAGCTGTAGAGCGTACGTATCTCTCGTGATGAACAGTTCAGTCAGAATCCTTAAGTTCTAGCCAAAACACTACGTGAGGGGTTGCTTGAGGTCAAACAAACCAGTCCCTCCTTTAACAACTTTTCCAACCACAAGGCATGCAGAAGGGGATCGCAGTTCATCATGGGCACCTGTAACAGAATTCAGACAAAATCGTATTAGGATGTTTCCAAAGGTTTCTCAGGGGTCGGTGCTGAAAAGAAAGCATTTTGGTTTACGTGCAAGAAGTGGTTCAGCCCCCCCCTAGTTTCAGAAAGGCACTGCCACCTGCTGTTCAGATTGAATTTGTATTTCTGAGAGCACGAGTCTAAATCTCTTCCTGCCCCTCCTACAATAACTATTATCTCATCCCAATCTTTTTGTGCAAGCAGAGAATTATGCCACGCATTACTAAACCCTCCCTATTCAGCACGAAAAGACAACACGGTCTGAATTCTAAGAGAACACAGATTTGACCTTCCAGTGAACACATTTTGCTGATTAAATAGATTGCTAAAAAAAATACATCAGCCAGACAAACCTAAAAAGATTCCCTTTTCATTGCTGCCTTTTTCCTTTGTTAGGGTGAATCCTTTTGATGTGGTTTTTAAATCCTTCTGGCTAGATATGAAGAGAACTTTTCACTGGAGAGACATTCCATGAATTCCTTTGATTTTGTGGTTACTCACTGTAGCGAAATAGTGTCACAGAAATTTGGAAGCTCTCCAGATGATATGTCTGGCTAGGACTGTTTTGCTTTCACTGTTTTTATAAGCATCCAGGCTGGTTTTCATTTATCCTAAACTACAGCAAGCTGGAATTTTGTCATTACAGCAGTTAGAAGATTGGAAATAAAACTGTTAAGCTTTTGATAAGTTTGGGTCATCTTTATCCTACTGAGCAAAATGTACTGACTAACTTCCTATGATACAGAGGCTAGGGGGAGGAACTGCACCATAGCACAGTGTATGGCATGTGCTTGCTGGTCCCATCTCAGCTACCGCTGAATAATTAAACAGCTTCTCCTAAATGTGTGTCAGCTGAAGAAAAAGAAAAAGCTCCTTTGTTAGGTCACTAAACAAAAGAGTCATAACCGTCCTGTCTGATCACGTGATGTTATTCTTCGAGCAAACAGCCAAAGGGATCTCGCTCCTGATGCAGCGTGCTCTCTGCACACTAAACCCCGATCAGCAGGCTGCTGGGTCACACCTGCACTCTGATGGTACTCACGTTAGCTGTGCACAGCAGTCACAAGCCGCCTTTTTTCCTGCTTACTGATCAGGGCCATAAGCGAGCACCCTCGCACTATCTCTTTAAATGCAGTCGAGTTACCAGTTACATTAAAGAAAATTAGATCCAGACTGCCGCAATCCACATTATGACTTTGATTTCCATCTCAGTGAAATCAGTAACTCCCTCCTCTTGTAATGAGGGTAGCTTTCCTGCCAATTCACTGTGTCCTTCCATCAGTATGCACTTCCATGTCTTTATTCATAATGTTATCCATAAACAAAATTACATTTCACCTGGCAAAAACCTTATCTTATTCCTAAGTCAATATATGATATAACGTAAATCCAGAGAGTGCAACTGTGCATGAAGCTTCCTCTTCTATTCAATTTCACCTCGGATTTACACTTCTCCTTTCTGATTTTCAGATGAATTTTGAGTCAATTGTAACCAATAGCATTCATTAAAACCCAAATTATCTTCCCAGAAAAGTAGAAAACAGCATTAACAAAAAGGAATTCTGTGATAAAAAGTATCTACGACATCTGTGAAAAGCAGTTTAAGGTAGTAGCTCATGCTGAGAGCTTTTCCCATTTGTAACGGGTAGCAAAGGAAGCAGCACAGGAGCATCCAAGGAGGAGAGTATCCAACTGGCAAGTGACAGAAACCAAGACTATTTGCAAAAGGGAGACATAATTAGCAGTCAAAGCATGAGATCAAGCAAACTGTCTAATGACAGACTTAAAGCACAAGTTTTTTTGGATAAGACTCCTAAATGTAGGTGGCTAGTGCCAACTCAAATGCCCTAAATGAGCTGTGCAGCCGTGTGATCTCTACACCTTCCAAAGCAGCAAATAGAGACCAGGAAGGATACTCCTGGGCATCTCAGACGGCACCAGAAACCTACCATTAGACAAATCTGACCCTCTGTCTGTGTTTGAGGGAAAAAGCAAAGATAGTAAAGTGCTACAAAGCAGAAGAAAACCAGAATCAAAGTAACAACCAGGAGGACTGTTCTCACAGTAAAATTCTGAATAGCAAGGTTAGAGAAGAGATGAAAACATGGAAGTTTTAAGAGATGTGAAAACAAAGCAGAGATGACAATTTTAATAGTAGAGACAGAAAAAGGCAGATTTAGTAGTCTGTTGTTAAGATTTGTTATAGCAAAGCTTTATAATCTTAAGGTTTGTTACAAAAATGCCTATCCAATTCTTAAAGAAAGGAGTCACAGACCCCACAAATTACATGTGGGAGCTGACTTCATTTAAGCTGACAGAATTTTATTAAAAACATCTGGAACAGTTTTCTAGGCAAGGGCTTAATTAAAATTTTAGCCTCTGGCATTTTTTTCTAATGCAATTATGCATTACTCAAAATAGTGGAAAGTTACGATGAAAACAAAGCATATGCGAAAGGCTGCAGCAATATATTTCAAACTAAACCATTTACCCATCATTGTTGCTTCCTTCAAGAATTTGTAGCTGGTTTCAAATGTCATCTGTTGCAGAGGGGAGGAGTTGGACTGAATTCCAAAACGATTCAGTGGTTTATAAGATCCTTCAAAACACATGTAATCTGCCACAAGTGAAAGGTGCCGAGGGTCTACCACAATTCCTAAGAACACAAGAGCGAGCAATCATCAGAGCATTCAAGGGCTAAGGGTGGGGGTTTTTTTAGTAAATCAGGTCTAAATTAAACCCCCTGGATCTAATCAACATGGAGAACATCTCTATTAACATTCTTCTGGCAGCTGCACCTCTTTGTGCGTAGCTGGCTTAACTGCTCCCCTCAAATATCCAAGAGAGGCAGACCTCACTATAATATAAAACAGTATCTCTCCAGGGAAAATAAAATGTCAAGAACACTGTAAGGCAGCGAAGTTTCTCTACACAAAATCAGTAAGGCCTGCATCATCTTTGTTTATGCAGAATGGGATCAGAGATCCATCCGTTTGTGATGGGACAGAGCTCTGGCCCCTCACCTGGTGGCCTGCAGTAGCTAGGCACCAGAGTCAGAAAGGTTCTGGTATTTTCTGTGCATGATATTAGGCATCCACAGAAAACGCTGTTTAGGCTAAAAAGAAATAGCACTTATTTTTAAATAACGCTTGTGGAGTCAGTGTAATGGGGGATCATTAACAGCTCTGTCAACGTTTACCCAGCAGTTCTTGAACAACTTGAAGGTCAGACCATTCTGGGCTGCCAGCTGGCAAATCTGTTTGATATAACTGGTTGCTAAAATTCCCACTGTATTAATCTTCCCTCTTTTTAATAGCTTAATTCATAGCAAGACCTAGCTCACTTGAGCAGCCTATGAAGTCAGGCACCTTGCCTACACTAGTTGCCTGGACTCTGAATAATCTAATCAGAGAGAACATTCAGACAATGCAGCGCAGATATTTTAGGAAAGATGTAAAAACCTCAACTACAAAGGGAGCCGAGACTCCCATCATTAAACAGCCAGAGTGAGCAAGATTAATCCTATTCTCAGGGTCACTATACAAGTCTAACAGTTAGCTTCCTCAGACATCAGTAATTAATTCATCTAGACCTTCCAGCTTGCAAAAAACCAAATATACCAGAATAGAAAAGCTCTGTGAATGGGGGATAAATTCAACCTTGACTACTGAATTTTCTACTGATTAAATGGAACCTAACAACTAACAAAGTCTTCACAGAAAGCACTATAATGATTAAAAGTATGAAAAGGTGCTTAAACTTACACACACAAATGAAAAGATCATGCAAAACCATAACTTTGTAAGCGCTGTGGCTGGGTTTTCCTATCTTAATGATAATAAAGACTATCTTTAAAAATACAAAGAAATCTTACCATATACAGCAAATACATCTTTTATTTCCTTTATAATCACCCTCAGGGCGGACTCAATGCCATAATTCTTAGCCATGGCATGAATATCATTGGAATAAAGTCTGTTCAGGTCCAAAATCTGAAAGCAAAAAAACCCACAGATACAAGTTAGGACAGTAGTTACGCTATATTACCAAATAACTTATGCTAAGCTAAGATAGCTTTTTTCTCCATTTTTCATTAGCTTAAGCAGCACCAACAGCTACAGAACAACTAGGCAGCAGCTCAGAGTCAAATACTGACATAACTTACGCGGGAGATTTAAGTTTAAGCTAGTGATCACTGCATTATATACATGAATAAGAGTATGGAATCAAAACTCACCACAGGAGAAAATGTTATGAAATTAGAAAAAGCAAACAAACAAACCATCCCAAGCAGCAGGGAACATGTTAAAGTCTTCCAACCAACATAAAGCAATGCCCAGTCTGTCTCAGCCAGCCAGAACTTTCAGCAAAAGCAGTAGAGAAGATGTAGCTTAAAACAATCCTGTATTTGTAGAGTTATGGGCTAGATGGCATAACAGAACTATTCATTTCCAAGTACTGCAATTAATTTAGATTGAAGAACTCCCTCAAGTAACATTTAGGGAGACAGTTACAAGCACAGTGTAGAATTATCTGTCATTAGACACTGGGCTGCTGCACAAGAACTGAATTGCAAGCTGCCCTTGAGAAAAGGCTTACTGAGCTCTGAACACATCTAGGGGTATGTCCTGGTTTTGGCTCAGGTAGAGTTAATTTTCTTCTTAGTAGCTGGCATAGTGCTGTGTTTTGGATTTAGTACTAGAAGAATGGTGATAACACACTGATGGTTTAGTTGTTACTAAGCAGTGCTTATACCAGTCAAGGACTTCTTCATCTTCCCCTGCTCTGCCAGGTGCACAAGAAGGTGGGAGGGGGCACCGCCAGGACAGCTGACCCCAACTGGCCCAAGGGCTACTCCAGACCATAGGACTTCATGCTTGGGGGGAGCTGGCCAGGGAGAGAACGATCACTGCTCTGGGACAGGCTGGGCATCGGTCAGCAGGTGCTGAGCAACTGTATTGAACATCACTTGTTTTGTATATTCTGTATATTCTATTATTATTACTAATTTTTTTCTTTCCCTCTACTTTTTTTATTAAACTGTCTTTATTTCAACCCACAAGTTTTCCCTTTTTTTTTTTCTCTCCGATTCTCTCCCCCATCCCACTGAGGGAGGGGGGGGAGTGAGCAAGGTGATGTTTAGCTGCCTGCCCAGTTAAACCACAACAGGGTAAAAAGGAGAAGGAAGAGAGTTTAAGAGCTGAAAAAGCTACACATCACCCCTGCTAAATTTAAATGGCATTCATCATCCACTATCTCTCCCTAGAACACAAAAGATCATTCAAGTTTGAGATTATAAACAGATTACATACATCAGAGTATCTGAACAACTCCACAAGGTTTATCCCTTCTGTATGCAGAACAAGTTCCTTCTCTCCTTGCTTATTGGTACTTTCATTCAACAAGCATCGTGTGATCCCCTTCACTTCATGAATAACTGTGCTTCGTGCAAGAGAGACAAGCAAGGAGGAGAGATCAAAGTACATCTTCATCAGTGGAAGTGTCAATGAAACCTAAGAAGGAAAAAACCAATGCAATGTTTTGTCAGGAAACTTGGACATCAGGCTCAATAGCCAGCCTCTTCTTTTTAGGCAAAAAGTAGGCAACTGAACAACTGGGATTTATCCTAGCTGTGTGCTTAGGAACATAAACGTCTGACTAGAATTACAGCTGAATGATGCTAAGAACACCACCGCATCCCAGGACCATTCATCCACATTGCTTTAAAGATCTGAGCTTATATTGATTGGGGTTTGGTTTTTAATTTGTTTGGTTTAGATGTTTAGACTTTCTCCTTTCTGTCTTGCAGAAGGAATGTGCAAGTTTCTCAACACCTGCAGTTTGTTTGATTTTGTTGCATCTTCTGACAGTTTCAAAGCAGTATTAGCTCAGGTTAAAGTAAAGGCATTTTTCAGCATGAGCTAAACTGGAAAACTGGGGAGGTTGACCTCAGCTATGCCTTTTCCAAGATAGCTTGTTGCTGGAGGGGTTTTGGGGAGGAATATGGTAGTAGAATTGGGAGAAGAGTGTAGGATAAAATTAGCTAGATCAATCTGAAACAAAAAGGTTTATTTCTGGAAGCGTTAAAAAAGGTTTGTTAAAAACAGGGGGAATGAAACGTTTCACCTTGAGAACACGTTCCTAAACAGCCTCTTTCAAAAGTTGAGTTACCACTTTTATTAATCAGGAGCTACACAGTATTGCATCATATATTTAAAGATTAAAACACAATAAACCCAACAGTTATCTTTAATAAAAGTTAGGGGTTGCTAAAAATTATGCCAAGAAGTTCCTTTGTACTGCCACTTTCTATATGAATACAGGAGTGCTGAGACAAAACAGCAGCACTCCACTGAAGAGATCCATTTTTTATGGGCACTACATACAACCACTGCACAACCACATGCACATGTTTCCAGGCACCACCATCTTACCTCACACCAAAGTTCATTTTCAGTGTCAAACGTGTAATCCTGTATTGATGGGTGGCTGTCCAGAACAGCATTTACTCGCAACTCTGCTGATTGAAGTAATCGATCTTTCTCTTTTTTAGTTTGAGATATAAAGGAAAGATGTTGAGATTCATCACCATCTGCTCCAATCTGATCTTCTGCACTGGGGGTCCTTTCTTCTTTTTCTGATTCAGCCTCTTCATCTTCTAGATTCTCATCAATGTTTTCTTCCCCATTCTCTTCTTCACTCTCATAATCAACCTGCAAAGAAATCATGTTGCATTTATCTGAGCCAGAACAGGTACAGAAACAAAGTGTACCATGAACAGTTTTGTTCACAAATATTCTCGACAGCTGAGTTACAAGTTGCTCGCCTGTGACACAATGAAAATGCAGTTCTGTTGTAAAGAAAATAATACAACAGATCCAGTTCGGTCTCTATTTTTTCATAATCTTGCCATTATTCCTCAATACAGTCCAGGATGCTACAGGTTATTGGGATTGTAGCAGAATTTAGTTTTCTCCCCCCAAAAAAGGGTCTTCCCATAATTCAACTCTGATGATGGGATTCCCTCAGGATTTTCAATCACTCTAGCCTCTTGCTGCAATTAAAGCAACCCACCTTTTAAGCAGTAATTATGAAGTAGTCAACATGGAAAAGCATGCAGAGCCAGGGAGAATGTTTATTAAGAACCACAGAAAAGTTTTAAAAACAATTAATGGCATGAAATTAGCAAAAGGTAAAGTTAAGATGAGATACAGCACAACCTGACTGCCAGACAAATCTATCCAGTGCCTGAAGAACAAGGCTTTGGAAAAACACAGATCTCTTCCATCTCTAACTTGGATGGTTCTGTATTACTCTAAGAACAGCAGTGAGCAGGCTCAGCTATGATGACCATGGTCATCACAAGTCTCAGCCCACATTTTCTGCTATAGATTTCCCCCCATCCCAATCAAAACTGATCAGCATGAAGCAGAGACTCTCCTGTCCTCATTCAAGTGAGGTTTGTGGGGTTTTTCAGCATTTTGTCTAAGTGGAAGCTTTCCTTCCCAACTCAAACTAAGGAGAGGAATTTGGGAATTCATGTGCAGTGCTGAGCACTTATAAAATCATTACCTCTTCTTCTTGGTTCTTTTTCCGTTTTGCTTCTGTAGCATCGCCATCCCCTTCGTCAGCTTCTGCATCAACAATGTTCTCTTCTTCCTCTGCTGGAGCTTCCTGATCATTCTGTGCCTAGAAATCCATGACAGAGGACATAAACATGCTGACTCTGCTAGGAAGCATCAACTGCATGAAAAGCCTATAGCAAAACATTTGGAATTTAACAATCCCTTGTTTAATGGTCTACCTTTAAGGACAAAATAATTTCTATAAGCCCACCACTATAAAGAAACAATGAACTTACAACTCATGGTAACTTTAACATAAACAATATTAATATCTACAAGATTCAAAAGCTATCGCCCTGCTTATATGACAGTCCTTGTTGGGAGAGAGATGGCAGAAGGGACATGCAAAAGCCTTTCAATGAGAAAAAAAGGATCTTCCCCGAAGTTTTGACAACCACTGCTACAATGGGACATCAGTCTGGGACTAAATGGAGAGTAATATGCTGTTACCTCACTGAAGCTAAAATAAACAGGCATTTTCAGAGTACAGTCTTAAGTAAATTAGGATTTAATACACAGTCACTTTAATTTGCTTGTTAATTTTATGAGAATGCAAACACGGTTTATACATAAAGAAAGTATTTAAGAAGTAATTTAGTATTCACACATTTCGTGTTCACATTGAAACATGCTATGCTTTTCCAAATTCTGGTTCTCAAAAATAGGTAAAGAAAATGAGGCATTTTTCACGTAATGTTTTTCTGTACCTTGTCTTGGTCACCATCTAAATCTTTCCGAGTTGCCTTCCGGGTGCTGACTTCAGTAAAAGATGCCATCTTTGCATTCTTCCTTTTAATTGCTTCCAGAAAAAATTTAAAGAACCTGAAAGAAGCAGCAATCCAGAATGTCAAAGCTCAGCAGTACTGCAGTCAGTTTCAAGTTGTCAGAAAATTAATTTATTTTGTTTAAGAAGCCAGTCAACTCATGACAGGACATACTCTCTGGTGGATGCAAAAGTACTTCTAGGATAAGGCAAATAATTTTTCTTCCCATCCCTTTAGGAATCAAAATGTTGTATCATCTCTTACAATCGCAGATATAACCATACATCCAAAGCTTAAAATTATAAGCTCATCTGGACACTAAATCTGCATGTCAAATTGACCTTCAGAAGAGATGGTTTACTTCTGGACTTTCTTTTTTTTTTTTTTTCTTCTTTTAAACCAACAAGCACATGCAAAATTGTTAAATAAAGTAAGCCAGCTTGAACTCATGTGGCCTGAAGGAAGAACAAATCAATTAAACCTTTTTGCAAAACAAAAATAGCTTTCAGTAGACCCTTATTATTAAATGTTCTACTTTTAACTATGCAAATTCAGCCAGACATGGGGAAGGACATGGGGAAAAAAGAAAGAAAAAAAGAAAAGTCAGCCTTTTCATAGAATCATAGAATGGTTTGGGTTGGAAGGGACCTTTAAAGGTCATCTAGTTCAACCCCCCTGCAATAAGCAGGGACATCTCCAACCAGATCAGGTTGCTCAGAGCCCCATCCAACCTGACCATGGGCAACCTGTGCCAACATTTCACTACCATCACTGTAAGAAATTTCTTCCTTATATCTAGTCCGAATCTACCCTCTTTTAGTTTAAAACCATTGCACCTTGTCCTGTCGCAACAGGCCCTGCTAAAAAGATTGTCCTCATCTTTCCTATAGGTTCCCTTTAAGTACTGAAGGGCCGCAATCAGGTCTTCCCGCAGCCTTCTCTCCTCCAGGCTGAACAAGCCCAACTCTCTCAGCCTGTCCTCATAGGAGAGGTGCTCCAGCCCTCGGATCATTTTTGTGGCCTCCTCTGGACCTGCTCCAACAGGTCCATGTCTTTCCTGTGCTGAGGGCTCCAGAGCTGGACGCCGCACTGCAGGGGGTGTCTCACCAGAGCAGAGCAGAGTGGCAGAATCCCCTCCCTCGACCTGCTGGCCACGCTGCTTTTGATGCAGCCCAGATTGGCCTTCTGGGCTGCGAGCGTACATTGCCAGCTCATGTCCAGCTTTTCATCCACCAATACCCCCCAGATCTTCCTCTTCTCTCAATCCTTTCATTACCCAACCTGTACTTACTGATTTATTTAAAAAAAAAAAAAAAGTTAAAAATTAAGGTTTATTTGTGTTCAATGGGAGCATCAAGGGATAATTAAAGTATTCAAACATTTCTGCTAGTAATAAATGTTTAAGCATTCAATAAGGAATGGGATGTTGCTTACACTGGCTCTTTTGAGTGTATCAGAGACACGTGAAAGATCTGTCTTGATACAATTCCATACTGTCACCAAGTGACAGATCCAGTTTTATTCAAGACATAAAAAGCAACTGCGCAGATGCTTCTGCAAGCAGGTCTGCAGGAAGCTGTTGCTCTGAAAGCTGAAGCAGCAGTAATAAACAACATGCAGTGACCCTTAGAGCCCATGGAAAGGCACAAGAGCAAACACCAAAGTATCTGAAAGCAAATCCACCTTGTTTCCATGAAGTGCAAGATGTCCCCGGGCTTCACACACTTCTCCTCTCGGTAATATTCATGGGGCAAGAAATGGAATTTGATTTTGTAGAGGCGATGTTTGTTCTGCTTGCACTTCACATGTAGGGACTCCTC